AGTAAGTTTAAGATTATGCAAGAGGTAATTACTTACAGATAATTTCCCATATCTGGGATATGTTACTTGTAAAAGGATTAATAGTAACCATTCAGATACCTCTTTTTTAAACTTTCCCCCAACTTCTCTAACAGTAAATATGAAGAAATGAAAAAGCAGTGCTTTCATGCTTAGTGTAGCATTACCATATCTCCTCACCCACCTTTTCCTAAGAGCAGTCTGGTGAGCCACTTCAAGATTTTGTGAGGTCTTCGGAAATCAGTCTAGCCGCAAAATGCCACAAGTCAAGAAGTATCCATGCTACTCTTATTCACCATTGTTTTGAGACACCTAAACATTGCCCAGCACCTAGGAGAAGGGCAGTGAATGCCTGTTGAAGGACTATATTGGATATTATCCTGAGGGTTTCTGGGGTCTGAAATAGGTCCAAGAAAACTAGTATGTGAAGCCACCTAAGGCTGTACTGTCCAGTCACATAACCACTAATGATATGTGGCTATTTAAATTTAAATTTATTTAAATTGACTAAAGTTTAAAATTCAATTCCTCATTCTCACTAGGTACATTTCAAATGCTCAGTATCCTCATGTGGCAAGTAGCTGCCATGTTGGACGGCAGAGATATTTAATATTTCCATCATCACAGAAAGCTGTGTTAGATAATGCTAGTAGAACAGCATTAGTAGAGGCCTAAGTTAGTGTCATTTTAAAGTAAAATTCCCATGCGACCCTGATGTGCACTCATAATACCAAAAATAGCCTTCTTACACATCTCCCCCCATGCTGTAGGAACTTAACCAAGCAAGGTGGTTGGCCCTCAGTGGTGGCTGTCTCTTTGAGATTGACAAACAACAGTAAAACTGTTAGCAAGACTGACAGCCGCTATACACTTATTTGGCTATACCAGTTGTTAAAGTTGTAAAGTATCTGTACCAGTTAATAAAGACCTGCTGGTTTAAGCTTCTCTGGTACTTCCTTCCAGTGCCCAGGACACCTTGGCCATTCCTTTAGGATTTACCAACCTCCCCACAGTCCAGCAAAATGAGTTAATGTCTGTCTCATCTCTGGGAGTTGTTGGATGCTCAAGGACTCTGCACCAGCACTGCAGGCCTCAGATTGATGGATGCTACCTTTGGCTTCATGGTTCCTTGGCCTCCAGGAGGGATTACTTCCTAAGGCACTCCCATCACTACTATGGCCACGTCCTACATCACAGATCCATTGGCTTTAAGAAAACCTTAAAGTCATTTCATCCATCCCCTTCATTTTACTGAAGAAATCAAGTCTCAGAGTCAGGCAACTAGTTTGTAGCCAATTTAGAAATAAAACTCAGATCTTCTAACTCGGTGCTTTTTTGGTTATATCTTCTTGTATTCTTTTCCCAGACAATGAAATGTCGATTAATATCTTTATGTCTCACAAAGTTGTTTCTTTAAAAAAAAAAAAAAAGACACCTAATATTTTATGTATGTCTTATAATCTGCAAAAAAAAAGCACTGTGTATACATTCTCATGTGATCCCCACAAGAACTTGTGAGAGGTAGTAGGCTCCGAGGCAGTGAGTGGGGTGCCCAGCATGACAAAGCTACTGTGAGTGGGGAAGTCTATGTCACTGGGGCTTGGAAAACTATAAACTCTTTTGTAAATGTAAGATAATACACCATGTGGTATTACTTGCTTTTAGCTTGTGGTGTATTGCAGTTCAGGATTTAGTGACATTGAAAGTAATAACTTTGTTCAAGTGCAAATGATATGTGTGTGAATGTGTGTGTGTGTATGTGTATATATATATATTTACTTTGACAGTGTGCCAGTTGCACAGACTTTGGTTCAGCATTGAAACAGAAGTGGGTTGCTTCAAAGTATATTTTTAAAATGAGAGAACCCAAATTTGTAATTAGCTTTACATGATAGTTGTATAGTTTGAGTATCCAAGGAGAGTCTGGTAATCGTTTGTGTTATTAATGGTGGTTTGTTTTTTGTATTTCCCCTGAAGTAATTAGGCCCTTTGGAAGAAACAAAGGGTACTCTTTGAGGAGTTATTTGTTCTATTATTATTTTATTTTTGACACTCTGTAGTTCTGGCATGCTTAAAAACTTACTCATGTACCTGAACGTGGCAAAGAAAAATCATTTATAAGATATTCTACCCACTTTGACACCAAATTATCAGGAAAATGATGCTTAAATTATGAAGTAAAGCCACAGGGAAGGAAATGGTCCACTTCTCTTTGGTCTTTTGATCATTTTGACAGGAACAATCCTTATTTTTAGATAAGATTGTTAGGAAAGATCAATTTAATTCACTCCCAAAATAAAATTGAAATTTTTTGCACCCCGTTTCTCAAACCATAACCATCTTACAGTATTAGTGGATGCAGACATTGAGTTTATACATAAGTGAAACAGTGAGGTTATTTCATTGAATATAACAAAGATCACTTCAATTTGCTTTTATTAGCATATGAAAATTGTGGCATTCTCGATACCAATTATCCTGTAAGATTAAATATACATAAAGGGGAAAGAGAAAGATTAGAAAACGCTATAAATCTAAAGGAACCTGGGACTGTAAGACCTGCTTTAGCATTCCTAATTCATAGCCACATTTGGGAAGAATGTGTTTGTATGTTTCTTTTTTCAAGTGTTTATTTTATCTATGTCTTCATGTCTTTCTCCATGTCTAACCTGTTTTGTGTTCCATAACACTCTTATCTCATACCTCTCTATTATACTCAAAGAGCTGTAGCCTTCCCCATCTCAATATAGGACATTCAAAGGTCTCAGTATAGGACATTCAAAGGCTTTACTATTATTGTCTAGAATTTTCTCGGATTTTCTTTGCTTCGTTTAGATGTTATAGATGGTGCTGACAAAAGAGTGGAAAGATCAAGCTTGCGATTTATAGCTAGACTTGGAGTCAGCATAGTAATGAGACCCTAGGCTTAGATAGATCTTTGAAATTCTGAAGCTCATTCCTACAAACTTATTGGGGAATAAGGAGGACCAATGAATGAGCACATACTTTCAAACTTGCCAGCCACCAGTTTTGATACCAGTGCACTTGGTTTTAAATGAGATAATACTATACACAAGGACCTGGCATTGGAGTGGACACACTGTAAGCATGCATGAGGGTTATTCATTATTATTAGCTAGTCTGATTGGATTTTGTCTTCGCATCTTTCTGTGCTTTCTGATGCCATGCTGAGGAACAGCAGAATGTCCAAGAAATAGAAAAATACCAGAAGGAAGGGAAATACAAGTCCTCACTACTTACTCTAGAAGCTGAATTATCAGCCCACAAGCAATCAGTGGTTTTTCTTCTGATGACGATATGTGAATTATTTCTGAACTCTCTCACATGCTTTTCCATGTGAAGACCCCATGGACAGCCGCAGCTCCCCCACTGTCCACATCTAACTCAGTCTGGCCTAATAAGGGTCATTTGATGGTAAACTTACATTAACTCCATATGTCTCTTGTTATGTGAAAAACAGCACGCGGTTCACTATCTTCTGTGTAAGGAAAACAAAAATAAAATCTCTTACATTTGATCATCATTGATTAGAATGTTGTTAAGTTGCGTGAGGACCAAGTGTATTTTTTCTGTCTATGATAAGGTTGGTAATTAAATTAATGAGGCATTCATGCTGCTGGAAAGAATATAAATTAGTGCAACCTTTCTAGAAAGTCAAGGCCCTCAAAGTTTATGCCCTTTCATGCAATAATTCCTTTCCTAGGAAACTGCATAAGAAAATGTTCAGAAATTTAGGCAATATGATATTCAGATACGTCCCTTAAAGTGTTATTTACAATAACAAAGAAAAAATCTGCAATTCCAAAAATGATGGAAATAGTTAAATACATAAAGTGTATTTTTATGGCGTATAATACACATGAACATTAGAAAACAACGTTTTGAATAATTTTAATAACTTGAGGAAATGCTCGTGTATATAACTCAAATTTTATTTCGGAATTGAATGAAAAAGTAGAAACAATACTCTGAGTATGTGCATGTATCTGAAAAGAATATTGGTCCATAATCCCTTATCTCCAATTCTAAATCCAAAAGTTTTCAGAAATCAAAGGGGGTTTTGTTTTTAGTAACTTCTTTGGTAGGAAAACTTGGCCTGAACGAATGTGAAGCTCTGTTTTACCCCCACTTAATAAGAATAAGCATCTATTTTTGTGCAGAAATATTTAATATTTAATATTATGGGGTGCTGCTCCATACCATCACAAGATAATAATGTAATAAATGGTAGCTGTATCATAATACTCTCCAAAATCCAAAAAATTCTGAATTCTGAAACATATCTGACCCCAAGAGTTTCAGTGAAGGAGTTTCAGACCCATACGACAAAACATCATTAGTGATTTATTGGTGTCAAGGTTACCATTAATCTTTATTTTTTTCCTTTATTTTTTCCATATGTTTCAAATGTTCTACAGTAAGCATGTATGAAGTTACCTGGAAAAATAAATACTAATTTTAAAACTAAACACAATTTTAAAACTAGACACATTTGAGGCATCAGAGAATCATTTCATTTCAGTCAGAATCCCTAAATTAATCATTTGCTTCCTGAATCTCTTCTATTTACAATGGCCACATGTGTCTTTTAAACCAAGGTGTTCTCGTTTGCTGACAGAAAACATGAGATGAAATAGAGAAAGTGACATCACTGGATATGGACCTGTCTCCCAGGCTGTATTTGGATTCAGGAGAGCCCCTAGTGAGGGCTGCTCACCTAAAGAAAATACCTCAAGGAATAGGGCTTCCACCAGGCAGAGCCCAGGTGTTCATACCGTGGGCTATGGTGTCATATTCTGTTCATGAGGATTGGTCAAGAGGCCCACAGCCAGAGGCACAGACAGTTATGTGAGGTCATAACAAGCAGAAGGGGGTATGGCAAGATAGCAGGAGGGAAGAGGAAGGAAACATTCACATGCACACTTTAGTCTGCTAATGGACAACTTTTTCTGCCCAATTAGGTGGACACTCACTGACCTGTCACAAGGTTGCCCCACAGAGCTTTGGGGTTCATGTCTGAATGGATTACCGGAGCCTTCTCATCTCTCCCTTCGCCCAGTTCCCTGCATCCTAAGACTCGAAGCCAGCACAGGACCTGGAAAAATTACATGTAAGTTTTGACTAAGGTTTATTTTCCTTAACTAAATAATGATAAATATTTTCTTAAGTGATAGTAACAAATAGCCCAAGCACACATGAATTACTTTTCTTTTAACAAAGGAGCTGTAGAGTTACCATTGAGCAAAGGAGCAAAGGTTGGAATCTGTATATTGGTGGTTCCTTAACTCAGTGGCTCTTAAATTTCAGCTTGAATCGGAATCACCTGGAGGGCTTGTTAAAGTACAGCTTGCTGGGCCTCATGCCCAGATTTCTGATTCAGTAGATCTGGTGCAGGCTAGGAATTTGCTTTTCTAACAAGTTTCCAAGTGATGCTGATGCAGCTGGACCCCAGTTTGAGAATCACTGCTTTAACTCATATGCCTGAAAGGATGAAATGGTAGAAAACTGCATATACTTGAGTAATAAATATCACTAAATTAAGGAATTTAATGCTTTGCTTAATACATTGACTTGTGTCTCAGAAAAGAGTTTTAAGGTTCACTTAGCACCTTCACATTTGGAAGTCCAGCCCAGTAGGTGCCATTATTCCATGCCAGCTTTACTCCAGGGCTGCTAGTACCAGTCATTCTTTGTCCCTGGTTTTCAATAAGTGTGACTGATAGTGCTATTATTAGGCTAAAACAACAGCTACAGCACTTTTGCAGGTGTGCTGATCATGCTTTTAGATACACTAAGAAGAGAAAATCTTTTTTCCCCTGGGTTGGGAACTATGTTGTTCCCTTTCAGAGTGAGTCATCATAGCATTATCCCTCCCCTCACACACTTAAATGTGACTTGATTTACAAAACTTGTGGGGCAGAAAGACAAACATCACATGTTCTCACTTACTGGTAGGATCTAAAAATCAAAACAGTTGAACTCCTGGACATAAAGAGTAGAAGGATAGTTACCATAGGCCAGGAAGGGTAGTGGGGGTTGGAGGCAGGGCATGGAGGTGGGATGGTTAATAGTTACAAAAAAAAAAAAAAAACAGAAAGAGTGAATATGACCTACTATTTGATAATACAATGGAGTGACTATAGTCAATAACTATAAATAATAATTTTACATTTTAAAAGAAAGAGTGTAATGAGATTGTTTGTAACTCAAAGGGTACATGCTTGAAGGGATGGATACCTCATTCTCCATAATGTGCTCATTTCATATTTCTTGCCTCTATCGAAGCATCTCGTGTACCCCACAAATATATACACCTACTTACTGTGTACCCACTGAAGTTAAAAATAAAAAAGCAAAATATACGTGGGAAGGGAAGCATACCTCCAATGAATAACCTAAGCCAGCAAGTCCAGGTTTTGTGAGATTTTAAGTTCTCAAGACTGACAAACTTTGCAAATCATTATGTCGTGGTTTTAGCTTTCAAACAGGCCCATTGCCTAACTGCTAAGAACAAGAACAATTTATTCCATGTTAATCGAAAAAAGTAGAAGAGTTTGAGTAAACAAATGCACACTTGGACACATGTCAGCCTACATACCAACGTACCTGTGTGCCTGTGAAAGATATATGCATTGTATATTTCTGAGCTTTGATTGTAGGAATTTTAAACAGCATTTTTCCTTTTGTTTCATGGAGTCAAGGTGAGTGTAAAAATAGTATGAGTGATACTGTCCAGGAAACATTTGAGAAATTTCTGGGCATTTTAAATCTGTGGATAAGCACTGTGATTTATATCATTTTACTTGGATATGGTAAATGTTATCATTCAAAGTAGCACTTAGGATTTACAGTTCTCTTTTTATAACTCTCTGGAATTGAGAATAATCACTGTTAATAAAGCAATTGCCAAGCAAATATGTAATGAAAGAACAAATGTATTTCTTCAACATTAATAGAGTCAAAAATCCTGGAGATGGACTTAAGTGCACAGTAGGTCTATGTTAAAGTGTTTAAAATAAAACCCACAATATCAGAAAAATAAGACAAAAAGCAGTAAGTATTAAAAGCTCTATAATGGAATTAACCCAGGGGTGCCTTCTAGGGGCAGCCCAAAGGATAATGGGGCTGGGATTAGGGCTAACAGAGTTGTGAGCGATGTAATTGTTATTACTCCAGCCTCAAAAATATACTGTTCCCAGCAAGCACTAATTATTCTGCACAACATTCCTGGAAGGAAGGTGAGCAGTTTATGAGGCATCTTCATTATAAAGTGAAAGGAGAAGATTGGATCAAATGCCCCTTAGTGCCCTCTCCTGCTCTGCCACTCTGTGGATCTCAGCATTTACATATCCAGGGTTCCTATGGGATAGCCTTTGCTGTCAGTCAGTTTCCTTTCTACAGGTCAGGAAGGAAAGAAGTTGTTGGTACTCCTTAGGTGAATCAGGGCTTCAGGCTCCTGCTGGATCTTGCAGGACCTGCCTGGATCACTCCCCATATCTTTGGACAGAGCATTCAGTCACTGAATGAGTAGGGTATCTATAAAACTGAATCTGTGGGGCAGGGGGGACAGGAGGTATGTGGGAAACTTGTGTACTTTCTGCTCAGTGTTACTGTGAACCTAAAACTGCTCTTTAAAATAAAGTTTATTAATTAAAAAAATTAAATACCAACAGTATGGCAATTCCTCAAAAAAAAAAAAAATTAAACAGGATTATCAAGTGATCCAGCAAATTCCACATCTGGGTATATACCAAAAGAAGTGAAAGCAGGGATTTGAGCAGATGGATGTATGTATACCCATGTTCATAGCAGCATATTTCACAGTAGCCAGAAGTGGAAGCAACCCAGGTGTCCATCAACAGATGAATGGATAAACAAAATGTGGTATGTATTAATACATACAATGAAATATTATTCAACCTTTAAAAAGATGAAATTCTGACACATGCTACCATGTGGAGGAACCCTGAAGATGCTAAGTGAAATAAGCCAAACACAAAAAGGCAAATATTAAATATCCTTTTATATGCGGTACCCAACTGTCAGATTTACAGAGTCAGAAGGTAGAATGGTAGTTGCCAGGAAATAGGAGAATGGAAAAATTGAAAGTTGTTGTTCAGTTGATATTAAGTATCAGTTTGGAAAGATTGGAGAGTTCTGGAGATGAATGATGATGATGGTTGCACAGCAATGTTACTGTATTTGATGCCACTGAAATGCACACTTAAAAATGGGTACAATGGTAAATTTTATGTTGTATATATTTTACTATAATTTTTTGAAACTTCCTTCTAAGAATGCTGTGCAGAATCACTAGCTAGTGCCTGATAGGGATGTTGCAGTTTGTGAGGGTGCAGGAAGAACAGATCACTATGTCCCTCACACCTCCGTCATCCCTGTTACCCTTTGGGCAGCCTTTAGAAGACAACAAAGGTAAGGCATCCACTGAAGAGTGCTTCAGTCCCAGGAAGGAGTTTCCTATCAGAGTAAGGGCACAATTGTCAGAAGCCATCAAGGGAATTTGCCTTAAACAACTGTGATCTCTACCAAAACGCCATTTACACATGTAGAAGACCTGTTTCACTGGGGAGGAGGAAAGCATGGGCTACCCACACTCCAGCAGTGGGGCTGCTCCAGTTCCTCCAGATGGGCGTTCGTAAACCAGTCTACGCACAGAGCACTGATATGGGGAGAGTCCAGGAGCTGTGTGCCTGACTGTGGCTCCTGAAGGGTCTTAATCAGCGAAGGTGGACATGTAGACAGGAACCAGGGAATGCAGACTTGCCATAGATTCAAGCACAGTAGAAAATGAAAGCTTTGAGAGGAAATCCACAGAGGGTTGTTCTCCCGCTGTAAGGCCTATGATTATTATGATGCCTGTTTTACATTCTCCAAGTGAAGCAGGATTTATCGCCCTATCACCAAATCTCTGTCCTTATGGGCATTATTGTACCCATAAGTCACAGGCAGGTTAGTGAGTGACCCATAGGCCTATGAAGAACACACAGGATGGAGTTCACTAGGTTAGTCCATTGTGCCCTACTGTTTTTGGCTTTTGCCTTTTATTCTACATTTCTAGAAATTTGGCCTTGAAGAACAATCAACAGTTTTATAAGGCCCAGTAGCCATACTTTATTAGGTCTTCTTTACTACCTTTATGCCCTTACCCTAGGGCTGACCAGCAATTAGAGTTCTTATAGAGCTGTATATAAGGATCCATGGTTTCAAAAAGCTCAGAAACTGTTGTCCTAAATTATCCTACTTTCTCCTTAAGATACCAGTATGTATATATTGTCTATTACAGAGGCTCTATAGCAGAACCATCATGTATAATTTGGCTTAAAGAAAAGGTGTAACTGAAAAGAGGTAAAATGAATTTGTTAAAGTAAAATATATATAAATTAGTCCACTCATTCTCATGCCAGACTTTCCAAACTGGCTTAGAAAGAAAATCATCATGCTTTTCACTTAGGTATTGGAAAACAGGGCAAAGGAAAAGAGGTTTCTGAGTCAGTTGCCATGGGGAGCTGCTGAGATACCAAAAAAAAAAAAAATACTGGAATTAAAGGTTTTTGTAGAAAAGAAAATTCAGGTCAGCAAGTCTAAGAGAGAGGAAAGTAAGAGCTTATTCATTTTTGACATCCACCCTAAGCTTGAGTTGAAAGGGCATGGATATGGAATCTAATCAAAATAAATTCCACCCCATGAGTTCACGGACCATAATTTTTGATAGACACACTGAAACAGATTTTCCCCAGAGAAGACCATCAAACCAGCAGCCACCTAGACAAAATGACATAAGATAAAGAAGACCAAAGACAGACCCAGCAGGATCTCCTTGTCTCCTTGTGTCATCATTCCCAGGAATCAGATGTGTCTGGTTCCAGACATTAATTTGGTGTTTACTGGTGGCTTTTATACCTGGGTCCCAACTAGCCAGAACCCTAAATTAGCTAACCTTTTTTGTACTTCCCCACCCCCTCCCTATCCCTCCCACACACCCCACCCTACCGCACACACCACACTTCCCTTTTTCAGTGATGAAGAAAACAAGATAGCTCTGGTTTTGAGTCAAGGTGGGGTGTAAACCCTGGAGGATACTTGTAGCTGATGACACTGACCTGCTGAATCATTGAGAATAGTTAGATGTTTTACAAAGAGGAAAAGAAACTGCTTTGGAAAACCTTCAACAAAAAGCATTTTCTAATTGTCAAGTTACCAGAAAAATCAAAATAATAAAAACAATCTTGTCCTCAAAAAGTCTAATCAACTGAGGTTTTGGTGTACCTATTTCCATGCTTTAATAATAATCTAAAAATGTTGACTAAAACTAGAACAATATTCCATTCATTTTTATTCTTCTTGAGAAACTGCAAGTTTTGGCTTTTACCACCTTTCCAGTGACAGAGGTTAAATGTTAAATGTTCTGTTTTATGTTAAGCAGTCTGAAAGTTTTGATATTACTTGTTTTAAAACTAATATATGATTTATGAACCTGTGTCTTTAGCTCCTATAGTCATTGGGAACCAACGGCATACTTTTGAAGCCAATTCTGTTTCTTTTTTTTTAAAAAGAACCTATGATAAGATTATTTGTAGCATTCCATTTCAGAATCAGATTATGTTCACTCAAGAGATCATTGAAATTAATTTTCTTTCTCTACTAATGGTACAGAGAGGAGTGATGTTGCCAGCATGGTTATATACATTAATATATAAATCAAAAATTCCAAATGGTAATTCCCTGTGAGTCATGAGTCTCCAAATAGACTAATCTATGTTTTATTATAAAGCTACCTACTCAGTGACATCACTTGTAGCATAAATGGTTTATCAGTTTAATAGTTTCCAATCTGTTGAATTTTAAGAAATGGTTTGTGTGCTCTTTTTTGGATGCACCTGTCACTAGTGAAATGACGCCTATCTCTGAGCTCTGATTTAACCCAAGGTATTGCAGTATGTTTTTCCAAGGATGTCCCATTAGATAGATCTTGTAAAAGTGCGGCGCCTGCAGCCTTGTGGCAGCTGAAAGGTGCACAGACAGTGTGTCGTGAGGAGGAAAAGCACTTCTGCTCTTCTGCCCCAGAACAGTATTTACCAAGCTTTACAGGATAGCAAGATTTTTAGATAGAGTCCTTGCAGTGCTTAACTAGAAGCTATAATCTGTTGTTTCTAGTAGATTTTTCCTGTGTTCTTGCCTTATTTGTCATTCAGATTAGTATGCTGGTTTCTTGATTTCTTGACAGGAAGTGTCAGAAATTTATTGATGAAATGTTCTTAATTTCTAGACAGAACCAGAATCAGAAAGTAATTGCTTCCTTTTATCTAAACAGAAGTAGCTTTGTTAGCTTTCCTTATATCAAAGTGATACATTTATTCTGCATAATTTATAAAATAACAGAAAATTGAATAAAAGTAGAGATAAATTACCTATAATCTGGCTGCCCAATATAACCTGCCTGTTAACTCATACTTTTGTGTATTTTTCCAGACTTTTTTCAACTGATTAACTAATTCCAAATTTACAAGCAGTACTCTGGACTGATTACATCCTACAGGCTGGTGGCACTTAGGAATGATGACTTTAAATATCATCTTATAGGACAGTGATCTACTTGTTGCTTATTTTTCTCCCTTCTAATTATATTAATCAGCTCTTATAAGGACAGACACCTGTGTGGACTCACCAGTATCTTTATCAGGTGGAAATTCCTATCAGCCAGTGTTTTCATTTCTACCTTCTGTCAATCAAAATGATACTGAGTGGCCCTGTAAGATCTTAGTGGGCCTCTGGAGTTATGTACAAAGTGGTTTTGGTATTAGGTCAACTGATTGTTCTGATGATTTAAAAATTAGTAATCACTGTACTATAAGGCAGTTTGCCAGAAATGGGAAAGGTTGAGTTAGCTAGATCCTCCCATTCCCCAATCACAATCCAAACACTGTGGACTCCAATCAAATTCTGATTTTATAATTTTGGTCACAAAATTTCATTCAAATATTATATGCCTTCTTGTGCGGTGAACAGAGTTTTCCTTTAACTATGCATTCTTTATCCCCCTTCAAAGATGCATCTATTTAGATTTCTATGGTGTGATTTTATAGCTCCTTGAGGTGTGCTGGCATCCCTGTGCTTTGAATTTGGAGAGTACTAGGCCTTTGGATTAGGACGAATCCTAACACTTGGTCAAGGTTAGGAAAGGCTTTGAGCGCTGAAAGAAAACCAAGGTAAAATTTAAGGAATTGTTAAAGGACTCATCTGAGAAATGTTATAGAATTGTCATCCACAAACCTTATGTCAGTGGAATAGGAAGTATTTATTAAGCAGCTGCTAGAAGAGATTTTGTTTATAAAGAAAAAGCCTGTCTTTGACATTGGTTATATCTAGGTCTGATCATCCCCTTTACAGGACTCTTAAGTTCCTTGAAAGCAGTGACTTTGAGAGCATCCCTTCATATCCTCTGTGTCCTTGCATCTAATAGGGACTCAGTGTGTATTGAACTGATATTTCTGTGGCTCTTCAGTGACAGATGAATGAATGTGCTCAATTCAGGTAACTACATTTGACCTTCTTCCTACAGCAGTTGAAGGGTGCTTGGGTAGCAGCCACAATTGTGTTGAATGCCCTGGTTGGGTACAGGTGTAGGGAAGTGGTATACAGTACTTTGATCCTCCCTTGGAGAAGGAGATGCTAATGTGGATAATGAGAATTTGGTTATCTTTAGTTTCAATTTGGCCGCCCTCCTTCACTGAGTCACAGTGCTCACTTGTTTAGTGATGGTCATGTCATTTAAGCCTGAGACTGTCCCTCACACTGTTTATGACATTGGATCTGAATTTCCCATTACATAAACATTGAGTATTTGTCATATATATTCAAGAACACGCTAAAAGTTAGTTGGCTTTGTAGTTGACATTGAGATTAACTTTCTCTAACCTAAACCAGTGAAAACTAAAATGCTCCTCACCACATAAAAGTTTTGCTTTCGCTGTGTTCAGACCCCTCCTACCTTGTCACAGCACAGTCATTTGGAGTCTGATTTGGGGGCGGTGTGGTTGTCTCAGTGGCGTATGACCCACTTTGTGTAATACTTAATTGCCTGTGTTTTTACAACACAAGTCAGAAGTTCTGACGATAGTGGACTATCACCCAAAAAAGATTTTCTGAGACATCTCATCAGAGCTGCTCGAGTACTGCGCATCAACTGAAGACGGTGTTAGCTCTGCAGGGTGTGTGCTAACTATCAGACGATGACAGAACATTTCCTCTAGTTTCTGGATAATGAGCAGGCACACAGGTAAAGATGCCTTTCCTGGAGTTGACTCCTTTTGTTTCCTAATGATTTGATGATTTTGTTGAACTAGACTTTTAAATAGTAATTGCTCCCTGCATATGTTTGCTGATGTGGTTTGCAGAGGGCTCAGAGGAACAAGCATTTTAATTGGTATCCTGAGACTGTAATAACTTTTTTATTAAATGTCTGAAAAGATGGCAATCAAAAATAGACTCTCATCTCTGTCTTCTCTCTGCCCCTAGCAAACATCCTCTTCATCAATTTTATTTTTATTATTTGTCATCAAGATGGTTATTTCTAAATATCAGATGCTTCAATCCGCAGTGATATCAATGTGTGAATTAATGCTTGATAAGCCTCAGTCTATCAGGTGGGAAGTGTGGTTAAGGCATATAGAAAGAAAAAATGTGCAGAAGGAATGGGGAAGCAAGGGGATACTGTGCCTTAGTAAGCGTGGTTCCATTGCAGTCTAAAAGCAGATACAAGACAAGTGCCATTGATTTAAGTTTGTCAAAATCACTCCTCACAGCCTGCTCTGTTTTAGAAATGTTTATGTTTCTGATACCACTTTTGTTAATTTGAAGAACTTTTAAAATACCATCATTGTTTCAAAACAAAATGTGGAAGATGTGGATCATCTTTCTGAACTTGCAGGAAAGTTTTTGGGTACATTTCTTTGCGGGAGATTGGCTGAGATGTGGTTCACAACAGGGTGGTGCCTGTGCCTTGTGGATCACGCTGTCTGTACACTGAATGACATACCAACTTAGAGACTTTGAAAATGCCCATTGGTAAGTCAACACTGTTTTCCCTGAAAGTCCTGAGACAGAAAAAAAAAAATGAAAGTACAAACACTAACTGGAAAAAATGTCACACATTTTAGCCACTTTGCATTCCTTGTGTTAGGACGAACCCTGGGCTGGGTTTTTTTTTACATTTGTGAAGTTGTGTGGTAGGTGGGGCAGTGTGGGTGGCCCAGAAAAAGTAGCGGTTAGAATAAGATTTTCCATTTATTGCCCTTTGTGCCTGGCTAAAAATAAGAGTCATACAAATCAGAATATGTAGTGCAAGCAAAATCACTCTGTTAATTCTGATGACTGGTTTGCCCACATCTTTGCATCTGTCTGGTAAGTGGTATATTGGGAAATAATTTGTCTCTGTTTAAATAGCAAAAGACAACCAAGTTTTTGTGTTGTTTGTCTACACACGATAGTTTATCAGCACTTTTCCCTTCTGAGGGAAGAAAGATCCACCTCATACATAAACAAATTGTGTTGATGGAAGGAAGAAAGAAGCACGAAACCCTTGAATCTTTTTAAAAAGGCATTGCCTTATTTGAAATGCGGTTTTACAACATCCATCTTCTCGGCTGCTTGTTAGAAAGTTCATTCTTGTAAACTGATAGCACAGCAAGGCAAGGATACCTTAATGGTATTGCCCTAGAGACTGGAAAACTTTTTGTGTGTTTGGGCCGGGGAGGGAGAAGGGATGAGGATGAGCGCACCCCTACCCTGTAGTACCTTCTGTAGACAGAGATGTTGGAGGGACAGTTAACCAAGTAAAAACTCCCCTGCACATCTGGCTGCTGAGTCGGCTGCAACCACAGTAAGTGATAATTTGTCCGTTTGTGGCTAGATGAAGCACCAAAGAGAGGCGGCGCCAGCATTCACAGGGAAATTTGTACCTTAGCGATCCCAGCAATGGTGCTGTCCCATTCCACTGACTGAGTGGCTGTGGCATTTCCAAAGAATGAGAATGTCTGCAAGTGCTCTGAGCCTTTCAGTTTAATGCACTTTATGAAATGGATGAGTCAAGAGGGCAGTCATTCCAGAAGACCCTGAAAAATGAAGACTGCAAATCACGTTCCTCTGTGGCATCTCCAACTGTGGCAGACAGTGTGACAGTGGTTACCATGAGTTGAGAGCTTAGGGAGAAAAAAAGACTCTGGATTAAATCTTAGCATAGCTACTTGTTGACCTTGATCTGTTAACCTCTCCTAGGCCTGGGTGTCTTTATTGGAAAATGGGAACAGAAATAGTACTGCCTACCTGAATGAGAGGGTGGTCGTGAGGATTCAGTGAGATAACATACATAAAGCATAAAGCTAGCACTCCACAAGGTGATGTGGGGGTTATTGTCATTTGTGCAGTTGCATCATAAGATGTGTTGGAGAATTTTAGAGTATTTGGGAGTTCTCCTCTATTCTGGGAATAAAATTTTGTAATTAAATGGACAAAAGATCCACCTCTGGTTCAATGTTTCAGAATAATACAGGCATTTACAGGGTGGTTTGGTTCTTCTTAGGTAACTAATGCCATCTGGGGGATTTTTTTTATTTTACCCTTAAGTTAGCACAATGTAAGCCTCTCTTTCCTTCTAAGATTAGTGCTGTGTTGAGCATATTCAGTAATTTTTACCTTCTCCCTATGTTTTTTGTTTAACCATGGATTTTCAGTTCTAACATCTGTGCATGTTAATTGTAGTACCTGCTGGTGTACATTATGAAAGAGAGTGCTAATGTTGTAATCAAGTAAGGCTTTAAATATTTCAGGTGGAAATGGGCAAATCTTCAGGAGCAATTAGCTTCCATGGTGGTGTAATTCCCCACAGAAAATATTGCATCTGTTATAATTCTGGTTACTGATCAATCTTACAGATTGACCAGATGCAGACAGGCAGAAAACAATTGCTGTTGCTTTTGTTTTTATTTATTATTCTTTGCAAATTATTTTCTGTTTAATACAATGTATATCTGTCTTTCTAGAGTCCTTTTCCACCCACCAAAGTTTTGTATTATAAAGTATATTGTATATTTCACAATACAGAGTCATAATTGTGGACATAACTTTTTTGTTAGCCTTCAGGATTAGATGCGAAGAGTTCAACTCATAGTCTCCCTTCAGCCTCCTCTAAGACTTTCCTAGAATGTTGTTTCTTCATTTATCAAAGTTAAAGAGAAGTTATGACCGTACGTTAACTTTGCCTCATCTGAGACCTGGCAAGAATTGATGAATTAGACCTATCTGCTAAGGAATTAGAATATGGGACACATATAAAACAGTGGTGGCTTAATTTTCTCAACTGTTTCATTTTGCTGGGGTTTTTTTTTTTTTAATCCTCTTCAAAGTTTCCTTTTCTTAGTCTGTCCTACCATCTCTGTCCCAGATACAACTTGTGATTTATAACTTATGTATTAGTGTCCTCATCAGATTTTCAGTTTTTGTGTTAGGAACCGTCAGTCTGGAATAAAGACATTTCTCAGGTCAACTCTGCCAGGGAAATCTGTCTTGTATTAAAATGATTCCCTGCTTCCTCCAGTGTCTCCAGACAATGCTGCTTTCTCCACTTTTCTCTGTTAACAAAATAGAAGAATGCTTTTTAGGGCGAGCAAATCATTCTAGGTGACTTTCAAAGTTCGTGGCATTGCAGATACAGCTTCTGTTCCCTCCACACACACATATATTCCCCATTATCTTTGCCATCCTTCTTGCCCTTTGCCACAGACTAAAGCTTCTGTAAAAATCATAGGTGAGAGAAGGTGATAAATTAGACTCTGGCTGTGATTCCCTCCCACACCTTCATAAGGAATGACAGATTCTGAAATGCATCCTGTGGATACACCGTGTGCTTCTTTCTGTAAAACTGCCAGTTTTAACTTGTCTTTCATGTGCAGTTTGAGGGTACTGGCCAGGCGGGGTTCATTATTCCTTTGGTTGAATAGTGTAAAGTATTTGCAATGGAGATTTTCTCTAATGATGTATTTTAAGTACATGTCCGCATTGCTGGTTTAATGTACTCAGTCACAGAATGCTTTAAAGTTTATTGCTAATGGATGAATCCTCTGGAAAACAGGAATTTTTCAATAAGATTGACATTTGGGGTGAGAAATATAAATCTAATGAGAATATTTTAACCAAGGTTTGTAATTAGAGCTGAGTTGAGTGAATGTGTGCATGCACACCAGAGAAGGGCACAGAGGAAGGTGAAATTGCACGCTCTCCCGTCAATGAGGAGGAAGGCCGATGGATCAGTGTCAGGCCACAACATGATGGAGTATAAATGATACTGTCACCAAGTACTGCACAGGGTACCGAGGGAAGTGCACTCTAGTAAATTACATTACTTAGACAGACCTGAAGGCATTGTGTTGGAACAGCAGAGGGAAGCGGGGACTGTTGGCACCATGCAGAAGATATTACAGTGCAACTAGCTTCAGGGATGGAATTCACTGGTTTCCATTATACCTGCCTATTTGTATTCTCCTTCACTAATTTGTTTACAGAAAGTTACAAATGTATACATGTGAAAGAACATCATGTCTGCTTGGGGTATGGGTTACTATGGACCATAAGAGAATAAGTGTTAGTTGATTTGTATGAACTGGTCAATGTGATTCTTTTTCTTTTATTCACAGCCAGGTGATACTAGGTGTTTGGTAAAGCTTACCCTTATTTTTGTGAGAATCTCACATGCATTGTGTGAATATATCATCCTCATTCTCTCAGTAACACAATGCACTTCTTTTCCACACTTCCTTTACATGTCTTTAAATCTCACTGATCACTGGTTTCCCCTCATCACCTTCCATACCTAAGGGAAACAGATTGTAGTGGTGCATAACGTTTCATTTTGTGAAAAAACTCAGTTAAGAACAAAGGTGATTCCTAGAGTGGGACTTGTGAAAAACCATTTTTTTCACTTCTTCTATTTTCTTTTATTCCTCTGCAGCAAAGCGAGGCCACCCTTTTTGGGTTTATCTGTTTCTTACCATCTCTGGATCATCTCCTACCATCATCTAGATCATTGCATGTGCTTATCACCATTTTCCAGTTTGACTTCATATGCTCTTGAAAAAGCCAATAGCAGGTGCTCTGGAATTAGTCACAGTCACTTCTTAACTAGAAAGCAAGTGTCTTCTCCTGAATGGATAGAGATTCTGAAACAATATCCATTGTTTCTTAAGTATGTGTCATACTTTGTCCTTCGTGAAATAAACCTGAGAA